TGCGAAACCAAGCTTCGATCAAAACACTGAACAAATTTCATCATTCAATTTGCAAAACACGAAAACTCTTTTCTTCCATAAAGCAAACGCACAATATGAAGGTACATTCCTATATTTTGTGACAGAATTTTTTTTTTTTATCTCTGAAATAACTTTGCCCTTGCATGACCTTGTGAAATATGAAATTGTTCAGTTATATCTAAACGAGCCATTAAAAGCCAAACATGTGTAAGCAACTCACCACCGGGGTTGAGTTGCTTAGCATGATGAAGCCCTCTGCAATGGTGGGTTGCATGGCAGAGAATCTTCACCCACACACAGCTGGTAATTTCCCATTTTTGTTATTTAGACTAGTTCTACGTCTCTAAATATAGTATGGATTTTGCAAGCCTACAAGCTTCAAACAACACAAACTTGCTTATATTTTCTTTAGTTATAGATGGTTGAATTTATGTATTCGTTTGAGGTATTATCTCACAAGTTCAACTTTTATTTGCTTGTAAAAGTTCGCGCGCCTCAGCACACGTATCTTCAAATCTATTTCGCTTTATCCCCTTGGACAACGTAAAAGGACATCCAACAAGGAGATATAACATATAATTTGACAATAATTTGTTTGTAATACAACTTTGGCGTTTGACCCAACTTGAGTTGTCAGTATATCTGAATGATAGCAAAGATCTATACCAATAGGACAAAGCAAATGCTTTCATCAAAGTCTACATTAACGCTCCAATAAACAATAAGATAGATCCACTTGTCAAGGAATCGATCGCCCCTGTGGGCGCAAATTGTTTTACATGCCTTAATAATATGCCCTTCAAATTTTCTTGCTATTTAGTCATCTATGAATTCAACAAAATTTGATCTTGGGTCTGGAACAAAGAAAATGGATTCTCTAAATTTTTCATTGCTTGCTGACCTCAATGACTGAGTTCTCTTACCATATTTGATTATTCCTACAATGAGAATCGGAATGACAACATAGTTAAGGTGGCTGCCATTCCATGACTTGAAAACCACGTAAATTGTTGCTTCTAGCTGATAGAATGACTCAAGAATATGTTATAGCCATAGTTCATTATCCTGAAGGGAGAAGGCAGTGATTTTATTAGGGCCACCAAGATGCAAAAAAAGGAAGGGTGTCCGGCTCACCATAAATATGAAGTTGGGGTCTAATGTTGGATTTTTGGTGTTTTTGAAAAGAATGCCCAATGGGAGGACCGCAACCCAGTTATCTAGTTTAGGGTTTAGGTATAGTGTTTGAAAAGAAGGGGTCTAATGTCGTAGAGCATCTAGTTTCTATTCCACCAGTTATCTTTAACACTACAATGTGTAACCGCCTCGATTTAATGGATGTAAAAATTAGGCAGAGGTTTGTAAGCACTTTACTACAGAGCCTGGATAAGAGAGCTAAATGCAACTATTATAGTTGCTTGATCAAATATAGTAATGGAACAAGCTCCATGCATAATCATTCGAAGAGATGAAAGGGTGATATGGATAAAGATGAAATAAAAGACATGAATCAGGTTCATCCTCAGCAATGGCTTTAGAAGGATTCATTGGTTCATTTGTATCTCATTCTTGTCCTAGATTTGATTAAGAGGCTCGCTGACATGAACTTGTAAAGATGGTTGTGGAGGCTGAGCTTCCCTTTTGATTTTTGGAGCATGAAGCTTTTTGAAAAATTTATAAGGGTTTCACAGCCCATATTTAATATATGCTCGCACACATGCGCACGACTCTTGCATGTGATGTGTTAATGCTATGGGATACAAAAAGAACAAGTTTGAAAAATTTTCTTTCCAGGCATTGTGGAATGGTTTGCCTCACCACTGACACATGTACTTTGCGTCAGAATATGAGCTACATGTGTTTGACTGCCCATTTTATTGATAATAACTGGAAAATTGCATAAGAAGATCTTAAATATTTGTCAAGTAAAAAACCATTCAAGAGAAACTATGGCGAAGACTATTGTGTCATGCTTGAATAATTGGGGGTTAATCCGTGTTTTTAGTTTAACTGTGAATAATTCATCTTCAAGTGATTCTTGGATTTAACACCTAAAGAAGAGGCTAATGTTTATGAATAATTTAGTTCTGAATGAAGAATATATTCACATGCGATGTTATGCGCATACTTTGAATTTAATTGTGAAAGAAAGGTTAAAGGAGATTAATGATTCTATTTAGAGGATTCGTGGCAGTGTTATCAGACCTGGCCCGGACATCAACCCGATCTAGGTACTGGGTTATTGGGTCATGGGTCGGACCAGTGGGTCACCGGTTAACCCGGATATATATATATATATATAAGTAACATTTATGCAAAATTTTCGCTAATTAATAGGAGTGATTTTTGTGTGTTCAATTGGATACCCGAAAATAAGCTAGGCTCTTAATAATTCGCTTGGGCCTTAGTGGACATTGGGTTAGTAACACTTGCTAGGTTTAATTGCAATGTTTTGATTGCATCAGATGAATTGTGATGATGTGTCATTATGGAGGATAAGGGAAATTGTCCTTGGAGTGTTCTGATTGGTTGGTAATCCTTCTATCTCTTTTTGATTGGCGGAATGACTATGCTCTTGTCTTTCCAATGGGTTGCATTTCGACTGCAAAGTGGTTGAGGCATTAATTGCCTTGGGTGTCATGATTTGGCTTGAATTACATCTGCTGGTTCCAATATTTCCAATATTTGCCTTTAGACTATGCTCTTCTTCTTCACAAATTATTTTTCTGAAAGAAATGTTTTTTCCCTTGTTTCTTTGGCAAAACTTGAGTTATCACCTCCATTTAGTACCCCCACCTTGAGTTATCATTGACGATGACGGCGAGAACAGAGCAGAAAATCGTGCTTGGCAGAGAAAAGAGAAAGCAACAAGGATTCCTTCTTTGTTTCACACTGATTTTTTTTAATACCAGATTCTCATCGGTTTTTCATACCCGACGAGTCACCGGAACCCGTTATAACCCGAGCGGGTCACACGATTTGATCTGAGTCAAATGCATGCCTGGTCGAAAAGCCAACCCAAACCGGTTGATATGGCGGGTCACCAGAACTCGGGTCGACCCGACCGGGTCGGTCCAGGTTTGATAACACTGATCGTGGTGCCATTAAATACGTCAAATCTTCTACTTCTTGATTTGACTTATTCAATGAATGCTTTGAAAAGAAAAGGATTGAGTATAATGGTTCAATTTGTTTAGATATTGAAACGAGATTAAATTCAACCTATTTGATGTTACAGGCTGCTTTGGAACACCGAAAGACATTTGAGGAGCTTGAATCATTAGACAATAAGTATACTCGTGAGTTACAAAAAGGAAATGGTGTTCCTTAAGATTAAGATTGGGACCATGCTAGCTTGATTATACCATTTTTGAATATCTTCTACGAATGTAGCGTGATGTAAGGATTGGAGTGCCTTGTAGGTATAATCATCTTTCTCAACTTAACTGAAGCTTAATATTCATATATTGACTTAAGGGTTGGAATGCCTTGCTGGTACCTCCCGCTAATCTCCTCAATTGACCTAGAGATCCAGCTCAAACACTGCATCCCATAGTATTGCAGAGCATCCCACAGAGACTCCCTCTCATAGCACCAACCTCAACAAAGACTCGAATACCTAGTGGACTAGACTCAACCATGTGTTCTAACACAATTGTTATTGGACTGATCACATCCAACTAGAGGATTAAATAACAAGATCACCAACCAGACGATAAAAGAACAAGATCATTGATAATTGGACCTCAACAATAATCATAAATGAAAATTAGTATAAGGATATTTAGGTAGCGGGTGGTGTTCATGTCAGGTCAAGGTCTGACACAAATACAAATACACTCGATATGAACGCAACACAATTAAAGATTCACGACAAAATCTTCAACGCAAATAACTTATTTTGGAGCTCGATATGACACGACACAAATAACCTGTTAATCTTGAAGTGTACCGTTTATTACATAAGTTGACACGACATGAATAATATGTACTGAATGTAACTTTTACCAATATCAAGTTGACACAACATGACATAACATGAATAACTTAAAAGAAGATTAATGCTGTCAATGTCATATTTGCGGGTGACACGCAAACGATACAATTTTTTGTATCAATTTTTGCCGATACAAACACGACACAAATTTAAAAATCAGAGAAAGCAAATACAAATTTCTAATGTCTTGTTCATGCTGGATTAGCAGATTTTGTTGAAAATTAGCACCCTTTACAAAAGATGAGCTCTTGAAAATAGGCTTAATGCACAAGGTTATCTATACTGACTAGCCAAAAATAACTTGATAAAGTAGCACAAGCTGTTAAATAGCCTCAATAATGAATTACTGACCTAACAATTGATAAAAGCTAAGTAGAGCTTAATCATCCATTATCACTATGTGTGGTTGGTAATAAATGGAAGCTAAGCTTATGCTAAGGCAATGGGTCACAAATTTTAGATTTATTGGCAACTAACACAAGAAAATTGGCGAGTAAACAAAGCATCAAAGAACAGCTTAAGAAAAGTGTGTGGTCTTTGAAGAATCCTTATATTCACACCATGGTATGATGAAGAAAACCACTTGCATTGAAAAAGTATGTTTTGTTTAATTGATCCACGAAAGAAACTGAGTCGGAATTCCACTAGAAGTTTTTTTTTTTTTTTTAAGACATGTTTTCTGTTTAAAGTACAAAAAAAATATTAATAATAAGAATAAATTTGCCGAATGCTTAATTTTATGCTGTCAAGTTACTAAAATTTAATTTGCCAAAAATTTAAAGTTAGAGCAACCAATTTAAATTTGAACCTTATTTGTAATCAAACTATAAAACTGAGTTCCACCATTCTGTTCATGCATGGATTCCCAAAGTGCAAATATCAAAGCTACTTAAGATTTCTTTCGATTTTCAGAATCGAAAGGGTCCCTGAAGTAACTGAGGCAAGCAAGTACATTTTAGCAATGAGAGTTAAAATCATGCTTCAGATTATCAACATTATTCAAACAAAGAAAGTATATAAACTGTCACACTGCAAAGTCTATCACCATCAAGGAACCCCCCACCCCAAATGAAGAGAAAAACATGGCTTACCTCAGTTATCACCGGTAAAAGTATATCTAATAGACAAGGTTTGCCTTGAAAGTTAAGCAAGGAAGAACCTTGAAAGGTCAAAAGACATGTTTAAAACAAACAACAATGAGATGCTGCAAAAATGTCAAATGAAGTGTTGAATAATGTTTTAGCTTCCTTTTGGATAATCAGGCAGGGAAAGTCAAGTTTGTTGGCTATAAATCTAGAAATGAAACTTGCACTCATTCCAATTCCCGGAAACTTCTAAAGTTTGATGGTCCAACTGAGTCAATAAATCCTTTGATGGACAACTCAGGAACTGTAACCTTCTTCCCAAGCAACTCATGGTCAATGAAGACAACAACCACTGTGATATCATCATGGAAAAAACGCCTAATCCCCTTTTCAACCTTCTGAAGGTCTTTATATCTCATTTCCCTTTTCCTAGCTGCCTCATTCAAAGCAGCCCTAAGAAGTCTTCTTGCAATACCCTGGTGTTCAAACATAAAGCAGAAAATAAGTAAAACTTAAAAAACTTTTAGGGTATGCATTATAACATTCCCAAAAACGTTTTTTTTTTCTTTATTTTTTTGATAGGAGAAAAAAACCGATTAGAAATAGAGTTTGATAAAATCGGTTTATTTTTCTGTTCAGAAAAATTAACATGTAGCCCAAAAACATAAATTGAAAGAAATAGAATTTTTTTTTTTTTTTTTTTTTGTTCCGGGCACACTTTTATTAAATACACACATCATAGAATATATTATCAAGATTAAATACGCACTATTTATTAAAGACACATTCTTTCTCATAGGGATAGAAATGAATTGCATTATCAAACATATTTTTTTGCCCAAAAACTCTTCCTAAACACAAATAAAAAAAATATTTCTCTCAATAAATAGGGCAAAGAATAGAATAGTTGTCATGCACACTCTTAATATCCAAGGACAAAGATGATTGGAGGAAAAGGAAGGATAAGTAGAAAAAGCATACAGTTCGCGGGCTTTTATGAACAATCTCAGCAGCTTCCTGATTTGTCATGTGTTCCCAAAGTCCATCAGATGCAAATATGATGAATTTATCATTAGGCTGTAAAACTCTTGAACATACAGATGGTTCTGCGGTTAGCACAGGTCGGCGAATAGGTTCAGGCAGGTGGAACCGTGGGAATGAAGGATCAAAAGAGAACTCTGGCTGCTTCAAATATGCATCTCCTATAGATCTGGATACCTAATAGCAGTTGTGGAGTGGAGAAGAAAACTTGTTACTTACAATGAGCAACCCCAACCAACACAGCAGGCATCTCATTAGTAATTGTCAAATTACTTAAGCAAATACAATGCTTAACAAGGAAGTAAAGAGAAATTAAAAGCAGCTATAAAATATGAAAATTAAAAATATAAGCATGTAATGGAAATTCTGAGACATCTTTCCAAGAAAACTAACTCCCATAAAGCCTCAACAGTGTATAGACACAAAGAATAAATGAGTATGTCATAATTTCCAGAAACCTGAATGAGATAAAAGATAAACATGCAATAAAATATAATAATACTCGTAACAAAACCTACTAGTGTTTATATGAAACTGGTAATCATGCAATGATAAACACATACATGTATAATATTCATAGGTCAAAGTGTCAAACTACAAGCCCATTCCACTAAATCCTCTTCGATGTACTTGAGGAAAAAAAAAATTGCATTCATATTCAAGTCATGTGATAGAATTTGAAAGGGGACTATTTGTAATCTTCAAAACCTACAAATATTATAAGGAAACATAAGCAAAAACAAAAGATAAAGATAACATAAACCATTAACAGAAATTTATTTCTAAAGAGAAAAGCAAAAGAAAACCTGGATGATGCCTTTAATGCGCCATGTTCCATGCTTCATAACTACAATTTGTGAATCTTCCGGGTGCAAAGACTTGAGTTCTCGCCTAACCTCCTCTTTGCTAGCGTTGTGCTCTCTGGTCAACTGTTCAGCAATGATCTTGTTAGATCCACCTATAGAACCAATTACAGCACGAGAGTCTCCAAGATTAGCGATATATAATGTCCCTTTCCAGATAACACCAACCAGACAACAGGATCCCATTGCTGCTATCAATGGCTTTATTCCATAACTCCTTCGAACAAGAGTCAGAAACCCATCCTCAGTATCAGAAACAGCATTCCTAATAATGTCTTCAGAGATAGAACCATTTTCTTGAGCAACCCCTGTAATGAGATTCGACACAAAACTTTCATTACTTCTTAAACCATTGCAGTACCAAGAGCATGAATAACAATAATTTGTATATTACATCTCTAGCATACCCTCTCACACAATAGTTTGTTAGCCTTGAAGATTTTTTCATTAGAATAATAGGGATAGCAAGGATTGAACTCTAGAACACTCGGTTACGGAGCTGTGATACCATATCACGAACCAACTCTCCAAAAAGTTTAAGCTTTTAGGTAAAGACACATGAATAGTTTTATATTACACTCTAACTCCTATATATGAGATGGTTCTAAGAAAATATTTTCCCTATCCTCTCTTTGATTTATATAAACACACACAAATTCAATAATTGGTTCCTTTAAATGCAATCTGAACAAACCAACAACAGAACCAGCTAGCCAAAACCATATAAGCCAAATTAAAGGGCCATCCAAATAACAAATAGTCCTAATCTTATGAGCAACAAAAAGGTCCAAAATAACAACAATGATTAACACTCCACCAAATCAGTCCCTTCAAGTGCCACAAAGCAAATTCATACCATTATTACTTAGTACATAAAAAAAATAAAAAATAAAAAATTCTGGGAAACCTCCAAAACAATATGAGAAGACTCACTCATAAGATTATGGAAGAGGTGGTCATTGATGAACCGGGAAGCTTCGGGACCACCATGGCCATCATAGACTCCAACAAAGACGGCATCAGAACCGGTCTCAACCTGGCTATGATCCTCAATAACTTCATTGGCCTGAACCACTGCGAAGGAGAACTCACCACAAGAGTGCTTCTCAAGGTCCCTGCACCACAAGAGAGCATCTTCATTGGTGGAAGAGTCATCATTGAAATCATCCTTGCTCATACGCGCATATCGTCTCACTGGTCTCAAGCACGCTGAAACTATCCTTGCCAACCACGAAAACATCCCACATTTCCCTCTCGCACGGATCCCTGAAAGTGAGGCTTTCGTGGCAAAAAGACGCTAACTTTGGTCCCTCGAGTGATGAAGACACTGCGGTTTTCTGAATTTGAAAGAAAAAAACGGGTATAAATTTAAATACCCAGTTGGGAAAAACTGAGATTTGTTGATGAAAGACACGATTTTTAGTGCTTGGGACAGAAAAAGTTTGTAACTTTGAAGATTTTGAGACAAGAAATTGGTGGGCAAAGAAGAGGGTGGACTAGTTGTAATATGAAGAGAGAAAGAGAATTCAAATCAGAATCTTTTGAATTTTTTGGATTTAAGAAGAGAGAGAGAGAGAGAGAGAGAGAGAGAGAGAGAGAGAGAGAGAGAGAGAGAGTTTGTTATGGGGAATTTCCAAAAACAAATGCAAAGATCTGATATTTGGGAGTGAAAGAGAAGCAGAAGGAGAAGGGGGGAGTGAATGGTTTTTCTCAGAAGTGTTGAAAGAGAATAGTTAAATACATGTTGGAGGGTTGCATATAAATGGTGTTTGTTTCTTTGTTTGTTGGATGTGTGAAAAAAGAGAGAGGATGGAGATAGCAGAATCGTGGGGTAAATAAACTGGGGTTATTCTTATTGCCACAAGCAAGCAAAAGAAGACACCATAGTATCCAAAAAAAGAGAAGATTGAAGAGAATGCTGATGGTGAAGAAGTTGAAGGAAGAGGAAAGTTGAATTAAGCTTGAGTTGACTTCAGAGATAAAAGAGAAGATGAAGAAAAAAGAAAGAATAGCGTCTCAGCTTTCCTTTTTTCTTGATTTGTATTTGATGAAACTAGCAACTTAACTGTCTTAACTCTTAACCTTTCAATTTAATTACGTGTATGAGTTATATTTTCAATTTATAAAACTCGGTAATTTAGTATTTTCTAGATATTAAAGTGAGATATTAAAAAAATGAACTGTAAAGTTTTATAAATTTTAAAATTAACTTATATTCATGCTTAAACTTAAAGACTAACCTACTAGCTGAGAATAATTTCATCAACTAAATTATTAGTTTACTCTTTGTTCATCTTCTCTCTTATTTTTATTTAAATTTTTCAAATGAGCATTACTATTGTTTTCTCCTCAAGTTGACAAGATTACTTTATTTACCTAATTCCCATTGATTTCATTTGGTTGGAATTGGGTGGACCCAAGGTCCAAATTGCTCCACTCACACCAAGAGTGTGCACTTTTTATTTTCACTGTAGTTATTAAGAACAAATTCAAGTTCAACCGAATTCAAGCCTAACTGGGTCAAAAGCTCCACCATATTCAGATTATTTATTTATTAACATAGGACTATAGTAGTATTTCTTGTCAAGTTAAGAAAACACTCTGTGCTGACAAATTTACTACACATTCTTTAAATCTATCAAATTTTGGATATTATTCCTTGTGCTACCTCTAATAAAGAATCAATATATTATACGACTTGATGTATTCAAAATGTCATGGTATATTGGTAAAGACAAAGTTTTTCGGAATTTTCTATGTTACTTGTATTTTAGCTTCTTTTATTTTATTTTACCCTTTTGTTGCTTACTTAAATGAATAGGCCAAAATACAAGCCACATGTTTTGGTCATTAAATTTTTCAGTCCAATCATTGTTTATTTTACAGAAAACATTTCAGTTCATATGAACTTGGATGAACATTGGCCACAAGTTATCTTATTTGGCCAATACAATCAAAAGGGACACCTGTAATTGAGTAGGTGTCGCTTATAAATTGGGCAACATGTTTGGATGGATTAAAGGAGGAAATTTGCATTGTTTGGGGTAGAGGGCATGTTGTTTTCTAAAGGAAATGGGAAAGTCACTTGCACTCATGTGGCATGTGAAGTGGCCTTTTCTTGAATCCAATCGCTTAACTACTACAGTTGCATTAAAGGGTTGTGGTTGCTACCTAGGAGGCAGGGACCATTTGATCCCCAAAATAATCTCTTTCTTTCTTTTTCATTATCACATGAGTTGTGACATCCTAGAACTTGTATGGGCAATTTCAGAAGAGATTCATTGCCTTCCCATAAGTCAAATTTCAATTTTCAACACAAGTTTCACCTCATTTCTACCCAATCCCATGCATGCTTCATGTCTCAGCTTGCCATAACCATGAAACAGTTGTTCCCTTAATGTTGTTTTTATCCTCGGGGTGTTTGGTATGCGCAATTTCGTAGGATTCTCGGAAAATTGAATTTTTTTTAAATTTTTAATTTTTGAATATTATCGTAAACTGAATATAAAAATCATATTTTTAAAAATCAAAATTCTCAAAAAAAAAAAAAAAATTCTTGTACCAAACACCCCTCGAAGCATTTGTTGAAGCGGGTATTGATTAATGGGTTTAAATTATGAGGGTAGAATAAGCCCGACAAAGAAATACAAAGGTGAAAAAATGGCTTGACCACATATCAATCAAAAGTCAAAACCATTATAAGCCCAGCAAAAATTGATTTAAATGATATAAATGAACAATATGGCATGACAAATCCTATAATCGGTTGGTTTATTGCGAATATAATGAAATTTGAAAATATTTTGAATGAAAACTAAACTATATATGGGTTTAATGTTTCTTCAATCACGTGAGATAAATTTGTTTTCAGAAAACCCAAAACAAAGTCATTTAAAAAAAAATATTATTTTCTTAAAGAGAAATAAATTTTTCAAAATGTCTTGTATTTTTTTTCTCGAAATCTCAAAATGATGTTATTTTGATTGTAGGAATATACCTTTATCTTTTATGATAAAAAAAAATACTTTTCCCAGAATACAATTTACAATTATGGGACGAAAATTAAAATTTATAACAAAGTTAAGAAACAAAAAGTGAAATTTTCTCTATATTAAATACGTGCATCATTTTCTCTTAGAATTAGAAGTTCCATTTTACGCACTAAAAAATGGGTTTCAATTTTTTAATGTAATAAAAGAAAATTTTCTCATGTTATAGACATATTTTTTGTGGGCCCAAATCTATTAAAAAATAAAAAATGTTAATCAAAGTATCAAAACAATTCTTCTACAATATGAGAAAAAGCTTTCCCTTCCAAAAATTTATACAATTCGTACAAAGGCAACACTGAAAATTGCATTAATTATTTCCAAAAAGAAAAAAATTGTATTAAATTATAGAAATGTTTTTACTGAATTGGCAAAACTTAAACTTTACCTTATGTCTTTATTAAAATACTAAGAATGACATTATTGTATCTTAATTTCACAATAATTGGTTTTACAAAGAAGAACATCTTGTTTTCTTCCTAAACGTTGTATAAACCTTGGTTTTAAATTTTTGTTTTTGTCATATAGAAATATTGTTCATTTTTATTTTAAATCTTTTCAATATTTAGTATATTCATTTCCGAAAACTATTAATTTAAAAAAAATAAAATAATCAACGCCAGTTATGTATTTGTATTCACATATAGAACATCATGCCAAAAAACTAACATTTTTTTATATATATATCTACTAATTTTCTTACCAATTGAACCAATGATTATTGGTATAAAATAACATTTTTAACATTGTTACTGGTTAAAACAAATAGGTGGTTCTTTTAAATATTTGGTATGAAAACAAAAATAATAATAAAATAAACTTAAAGAAAAAAATGTTAATTTATTTTAGGGAAAACTTCATTTTCTCTCATTATGGTTTTATGATTTATGATCACTTGACTTCCTATGATTATAAATTTATCACTTCGAGCCATTATACTTAAATAATTTATCATTTAACCTCATGTGATTTCAAATTTTTACTTATATCCACTGTGGTTACAAAAATATATCTTTTACACCTCTTGTGGTCTAATAAATATAAAAATATTTACCTTTTCTAAATTTGTTTTATATAATTATGATATTATCAAATGAAATTATAATAACATTAATAATTAAACAATAAATTGAAAAATATTTCAAGTTATTTATTTTGATATTAATTTATAAATTATCTTAATTTTTTTGCTTATTTTAATATTTAAAAATTAAAAATTTTATTTTAGATAAATTAAATATGTATTATCAAAATAAAATATTTACTTTCTTTATATAATTTTATAACTATATCAGGTAAAAAAAATAGATAAAATAAAAAATTATTTGATTTGAATTTATTTTCCTGATAAAAATAAGCCAATCTTTTTAAAAATTTCTTAAATGCATTAGATGAGGATATAAAATAAAAATGCGGGAAAATAAAAAAATTTATATGTATACAATTATAAGGATATAATTGATATTATTATTAATTAAAAATAATTTATATATATATAAATAATTTATATTTTTTGATTCATAATTTTAATTTATAATATGACAGTAATATAAGATAAAAGCTGAGAAAAATAAAGAAATTTATATATATATATATATATATATATATATATATATATATATATATATATATATATATAATATCGCAAGGGTCTAAGTAATATATTTTTATATTCACAATGAGTGGGAGTGAAAATTTGAAATTAAATGATAAATTATTTAAGCATAATGTATCTAAATGTCAAGTTTAAAATCACAGGGGTCAAATGATAAATCATAAAATTACAATGAGTGGAAATGAAGTTTTTCCTTTATTTTTACACCAATAATAGGAGTGTATAGGCTAGGTTAGGCTTTGGCTTAAATAGACCAGGCCTGTGTAGAAAATATTAGATGTGGCTTGGCTTATTAGCCTGTGTGGGCCTCAAATTACAAGTATGGTCTGACTTATATTTAAACAATAAAAGCCTTGGCCTAGGCCTGTTTAAGCCTATTAAACATTCAACAATTAAAAAATAACTAAAAAGATATTATTTTATTATTCAAAATAATTAAAATAATAGTTTTATTTATTATATTTTAAATAAATAATATGATATAGGCTGGCCTGTAGGCTTATAGGCTTGACATGTACAAAAAAAGCCTATGGCCTGTTTTCTAAATAGGTTTTTTTAAAAGCCTAGGCCTATTCTATTTTACTATTTGTAATAGGCTAAGATTGGCCTAATATAGGTTAGGTCGTAGGGCCCTGTAGATCGGTCTAGCCCATTTACACCCCTAATCATTAAGTATCGTGAACGGGGGGACTTGATGATGTTAAGTGAAAATTTGGCATGATTTGGTAATATGAAAACATTTTTTTATATATAAATGGTGTTACTGAGGTTTGAATCTATGACTTCATGCAAGTACTCAAATCCAGTGTTTTAAAACTCAGACCGGTCATCGACTCGGTCGAGGTACTGGGTCACTAGATCAATGGTTCAACCGGGTTCAACCAGATTTACTATTCACATATTAAAAAAATATAAACATATTACTTATATTAAAAATTCACATAAGAAAACTACCAATGAACTTCAAAAAATAAATTGGTTCTCAATTATAAAAAATATTATATACTTCTAGGTTTCTAGCTCTAGAGTATATCCTAACATTGGATTAAAATTGCAATGTAAGCTAAATGCACCTTTTGTGCTTTGACATAACACAAATAAACTAAATCATGATAACAAATAGTAGGTGTGAAATATACATACACTAAGGAGAAAGTTTCTACCAGATGAGATCATCAGAGTTTATCCCCACTTAACTTCTTTAGGTCCTTACTAGATACAACTAAATTACATAAACGAACTGCACTAATTCAAAACACCTTCTTATTTTCACCTTACTTTTTATTCATATTTACCACAAAATATAAACATGATTTAATTCAAGAGTTCATAGCAACAACAAAAAAA